AGAATCCCCATGGTCACATGATCAAAATTCAGAAGCTTGGCAACTGGCATGTATTTATGACAGTTGCAGAGTCCTGGGGTCATGTGATCACCTTTTGCAACCTTCAGACAAGCAAATTCAATGGGAAAGCCAGATTCACCTAAGAACCATATTACTAACTTAACAACTACAGTGATTCACTTAACATCTGTGGCAAGAAAAGTCATAAAATAGGGGAAAACTTAACAACTGTCTTGCTTAGCAGCAAAATTTTTGGGTTCAATTGTGGTTGTAAGTCAAGAACTACATGTATAGAAGGCGATAAAACAGAAGGAGGGGAAAAGTCTCCATAGAGGTGAGAATAGTTGACTTCTGGATGTACTTCTGGTGCTATTGGAAGCGAGGACTGCGAGCTCCGTGTTCCTGTTCTGAGCTCACCCCGTGGTCTCGTTCCAAGGGCTCCAATCGAAGCTATAGACACCCTGGAGGGGTGATAAAGTTAAGGCCTGGCAGGTCAAGGAGAGATGCATCTCTCTTCCCTGACCTGGAAGAACCCCTCATCCAAAGATGAGATACAGCGACAACCAAAATGGCTGCCATGAAGCCGGGGACAGTCTGAAAACCCAAGACAGTGAGGAGCGAAGAGACAGTGAACAGTGTGTGAACTGGGCGAGAGAATGCTCTTGAACTTTTAAATGCAACCCTGACAAGAAGACTCAGAAAAGAGGACTCATAATTATTCTTAAAGTGGCAGTGACCTAACACTGGAGTAGAATTTTAAGGAAGCAAAGCAAAATAAAGGAAGAAAATTGTAAATCTATTAAAAATATAGAAAATTGGATTCTTTGATTGGACAGACATCAGCTTTGGATAGACATTTTTAAAATGCCGTAATCTATTTTTTAAAAAATGAAATAACATTTATTTTTGGAAAATATTAGTAAAGTTTGATGAGAAAGACAAAAATAATAAATTTTTAATAATAAATCAGTGAAAACTGATTTAAGAGCGCCATCTGCTGTCAAAGGAAGACACTACAGATCCCCAAAGTTTTGATAAGGTTTGGTTTAAGAAGTTTATTATTAAAAGACCCCTGAAAGCTATAATACAAGATTCAACTAGTAGAGGAATTTATGAAGGTTTTACTCTTGGACTATTTAAAAAAACAGAATGATTAATTTTAGGACATAAAGACTCCTGGACATTGGATTTTTCATGTGAAAAGCGACTTTGGTTTGAATAAAGGACTGTTGGACAATTGGACAGAAAGAAATAGAATAAACAAAAACAAAGATGAGTGGAATTTGCAAAGAAATTGTGTTGGAATTTCAGGATATAAAAGATACCTTGGCAAGAAGATTGGAGAACATTTTGAATAAAATACAGAGCATGGAAGTGTATCTGGAAATGGAGACTCAAATGACAGAAAGAAAGCAGGAGATCCAGGAAGAGGAGGAGCCAGTCAGAAGAGTAACCAGAAAGATTGAATAGATGAAGCAACAAAGAAAAAGAAATGATAAAAAGGAAATAAAAATGATAATGATTGATGTAATAAACCAAGAGAAGAGTACTTTAAGGGAAGTCAAACAGGAGTTGGAATTGTAGGGATAATTTTTTGGGAGAAAGACGGGTAAGAGTAGATAATTTGAAAATGAGACAATGGAATATAGTAGAGAAGGGAGGAATATTCAAGAGGAATGGTCAAAAAATGATAATAGAAATGAAAACTTAAGAGAGGAATTTGGGAAACAAGCTAAGAAATGATTAATTAAAGCTTTAATGCAAGTGAGGGATGATGGTTAAAAGGCGGGAAAAGATTATGATTCCACATAAATGTGTGTACTATTAGTTAAGATATACAATCGTTGAATGTAATAAATAGGAATATTAACATTCTATTGCAGGAAAAGAAATGGTATGTGGAATCTGATTGACATAAAAATAATATAGTGCAATATAGCATAAGATAATGAAAGATCACAACTTAATAAAAGCAATTATACTATTATTAGAATTGCACAATATGTTAAACATTAATATGATGAATACTATTTTATTTGCATTAAAATGTGACTTGAAAAGGGATGCTTTAAATATAATAGTGGCACAATTCAAAACTAAAAAGGGGATAAATAATGGAAAAATATAAATCAATATGAATTTGTAAATTGTTATTAGAATTATATAATTTGTTAAACACTGCAAATATTATTAATATAGTATCTATAGTAAAAGGAGTGATATTAAGAATATAGAGATTGACATAAAAATAACATACTGTAATATTTAATAATTAAGATTGATAATTTAACAAAATATGTGTATTAATATAAAATTTTATAAGAATGTCAACTGTATCAAAGATGAAAACTATTGTCATATTTGTTTTAAAATGTAAAACACTCCAGAACCACACTGTTCACATAATGATATCTTGAAACAAAAAATAAAATAAAAAATGCATTACAAAAAAAAGAGATGAGAATAGTCAGACTTATTTGAGGAAATAGGTGATGTAGCCTAAGACAAAAATTTTCTTATAGCTGTCTCAAACATTACAAGGACAATGGTTTCCCATCTTTGCTTTTTTTTTGTTCTTTTAGTTCAGAAAGTTGAAAATAAACATATTTAGTAATATTTAGGTAGTCCTTCTGTAGATTCTGACATTTTATGTGGGAACAGGCCTTACGTTGTTTTATTGTTGCCAGAAACAGAACAGTGTTTTTTCCTGCTAGGTCTTTGGTCTTGGACTACATATATGCCATTTCATTCTTTATCACTAGAGGGCGCACCTCACCAGCTATATAGTGGGGGGGGGGGGTTTGTTTGTTTTTTAAGATCCTTTGGCAAGATTATTTCTAGAATCCTACAGGTTAGGGAATTCTTTTTTTACTTTTCTTTCTTCCTTTTCCCTTTCCTACCATAAAAGAAATTTTTTATATCTTCCAACGTCTGTAAATCTTTTTTTTTTTTCCTATTTATTTTAAGGGTTTTTTTTAAAATTTTCTCTGTGTTCTTCTTTTGATTACAATGGTAAAGAATATTTCACACTAATTCTACTAATAATAAATGAGTTGTCACATTTATAAAAAGCACATCACCAGTGCAAGAAGAACCTGATCGGCAGCAGATATTTTAGCTGCTGAGGATCCATGGAAGGGGAGGATTAAAAAAAAAAAAAGATATTGTGGTCTCTCGTAAACCAACAGATTTATTATGACAAAAGCCTTGATGGCAAATTGCAATAAATCTGTTGTTGTTGTTGTTGTTTTACATGGCTCAAATCTTTGTGTTATTTTTCTGCAACAGACTTCCCTTGCAACCCCTCTGGAATTTGTCATATTAAACACACACACACACCCCAAATGGGGAAATTTCAGGCTGACAGCTGAGTGGATGAGAAGCTACCAAGGTGTGAATAGAAGAATATCTTAGTATTTTGTATTATCAAATTCAGGAAGATTCAGCTCTATCCAGATAATAATCTCTTCGTCAAGAGATTATTTTTCAATTTAGAGATTCCTCAGAGATTGTAATTCCACTACATTTGAGAGAGAACCAAAGAAGGAGTTTCAGGTCTACATAACTTGGTATGCTTCTCTTCTCCACCCCACAATCTCCCCCAAATATAACAGCCACCGGACATCCTGAAGAACAACACACTTTATAAAGGCAGAGACACGGATTGATTAGGGCACATTTCCTTAAATGTTTAGAGTGGGGCGCATTTATCTGCTATATACTGAAAAACAGTAAGAGTAACAAAAATTGAGAAAGGACAGAACATGGGTAGAAAGGTTGGTCTGAAACAATTCAACTGGAGTTTTAAATTAGTGTTTCTGCGAAGGGACATTTCTTGCACATAATTAAGCCAAATTAAATTGCTTCAGACTGCATTTTTTGCATGTCATTGACACTGAATCCAAGTATTTATATTTTTATTCCTTTCCATCCAAATTAAAAAAAACTCTTAGTATTGGTTTGATTTTACACACTCTAGCTATCTGTGTCTCTGAAGTTTCTCTCCCCCTCCCTCCCTCCCTCCCTCCCTCCCTCCCTCCCTCCCTCTCTCTAGTCAAGATGACAATGACTCCATAATCAAAATATCTGCCTTTGTTTTTTTACATGCAGGTGCCATCTTGGTCTTTCTGATTCCCTTATGGATGCACTTGTTTCTTCAAGCTAGCCTCATGGCTGTCAGTTAAATGTATAATTATCTCTCTCTTGCTTTTCCTTGTTTTTGTAAGGAAAAGGACTGGGGCTTCAAACACACAGGCATTTCTTGTTGTTTTTACCTGATCCAGGGCACTTAGCTGGTGCCTCTGATGAAATGACCCATACCAACTCCCTTTGCAATCATTTTCAATCAGCACGCCATTTTGCTTGCTGGCTAAAAATGGTGAGAGTTATGGCTTAACACAGTTGAAGGGCATAAAATTGAGGAAGTTCTTGTCATGGACATTATTTTCTTTTGGGAGAGGCAAAATTACATTCCCAATCTACCAGTGATTTACAAGGGGCATTTAGGACCCACATTTCTCTTCCCTCATCTAACTCAACCAATTTTCATGAGGATGGAAGAGACACACAGTGAGAACAGGTGTAGGGAGGGATTGAAGTTGGCCTGGAAACAAGACGATCGAGGCTCAAATCCTCCCTTGACTCACCAGATGGCTTTACATCAGTCCTTTAGGTGGGGTAATTCTAAGTACATATATAAAAGTTACTTTAGGACAGGGGTATCAAACTCGCAGCCCACGGGCCGGATGCATCATGCGCTGGCCACCCCTCACCCCCGTTTTAGCGAAAGGGGAAAAAGTCCCGATATGTCACATGACGACAATGTGACACCGTGAGTTTGACTTTAGGGCAAACGTTATGTTTCCCAAAGCATCTCTGAATGCTTCAGAGATTTCTCTGGTGGTCTGTGAAAATTTCCCTCCCCATCACTTCACTTCTTGTGATTTTGTGTGGCCTTTGACTGAAATTGTTTTTGTTTTGGGAGGTTGGATCCCAAAGCCTTTTCATTCTGCCAGATGGCTAAATAGGACAACAGATATGTCAATTCTGAAAGCAGGGTATTTCCCCTTGTATTAGTAGTAATGGAATAGAAAAGTTAAATGCAAGAAAGAATGAAATGGAACAGAATGAAAAATCCACTTCTATTTCAAGAATTTAGAAGCATTTTCAGACCATTCTTCTCTTTTGGGTGGCATATGAAAAAAGGAGTTCCAGACTGGGTGGAGTTTAAATTGAATTTAAATTGAATGGAAATTAAATTAATTCAGTACAGATAGTATGATCAGTTTCATTCATGTACTAACTTTTCCATTCTGACACAATCAAAATCATTTAACATTAAATGTTTCGGAGGCATTTCTGTGTTAAAGGGACTACTCACTGGCAGGGTTGTAAAAGAAGCAACTTCTTCCCCTATAGCCTTCCTGGGATTCCACATCAGTTATTTTGCACGGATTCAGACCAACAGGGTTACCCTTTCTGGAAATCATTTGTCCCTTTGGGGAGGGATAAAAAACTGACTTTATTTGACATCGTCAGAGTCTGCCATGCAATTCCCATCGTGAGGAAAGTCTTTCTGTGAGGTGACCTTGACTGCTGCTACTGCCTGGTTCAACAAGACTCAGAAGCCTGCCTTTTTGGGAGAACGAAATACAGTCAAGTGATCCTTATGTTCCCATCGCCATTGGAGTCCTAATTCTTTACGAGATTTATATGCGCTTAGCCCTTAGCAGATGGCAGTTCCTAATTGACCTTGGGCCACCCCAGAAAAGCTACACAAGGTGAGACGGGTTCATGGTTGGATGAAATATCATGAGGGATGGCCAAGACTGGGAAGGCTAGACTAGGAAGTCCAAAAAAAAAAATCCCAGTTGGAAGCAATAGAAAATCCACTTCCATATGAGGTCAAAGATGATTCCACACAGTCACTAGGAACCGAGACACCATTCGAAGGAATTTTCGCACTTTCCTAATTTAACCTGGACACCCAAACCAGCCCATTACCTCTGAAAAGTTCAAAGCCTGAAATTGTGAGGAATCTCCCGAAGGAAGAAACTTCACACCCAGGAAAAGAGTTCATACAGTCATTCCCAAATCCAACTTTTGTCAGCTCAGCATCTTCAGAACACTCATGAAAATAACGACAGGAATCTCATCTCACCCATCTCAAGAGCACCTCTCGGAGGAGACTGGCTTATTCCCCAGCTGTGGAAACCTGCATACACTGTTAGGAAGATGGAAAAGGAAAAGTGAGGAAAATAAGACATCAGAAATGAAAAAGAAATCTGCAACAGTTAAAGCTGACACTGTTGCAAAAGGGAAACGTTTGATCGTAGCTATAGTGATTACCATGAGGCATGGCATGAGGCATGTTTCATCTATATTTGAGCGTATTCAGATGCAGGAATCGGGTGTTATTCTGTGCTGTGACCCCTGACGACTGTCTGAACAAGTCTCTGTATTTTTCTTGGCAAGGTTTCAGAAGAGGTGTGCTAGGGCCTCATTCCTGAGACTGAAAGACAACGAATGGCCCAAGGCCGCCCAGCTGACTTTGTACTTAAGGTGGGGGGATTAGAACTCACGGTTTCTTGGTCTCTAGCCTGATGCCTTAGTCACTAGACCAAACAGGGGGTTCTTGGTGCCCTATGGGGCAGCAATAAAAGTGAAAACTAAGTCTTTTGTTAGCTTCAAGTCTGAATTGGACCTAAGCCAAGTGTAAGTAGCAGGCATTTGATAAGTCTTCACCTCAGCAGGCTCGTCTGGCAACAACGGGTAGGCATTCCATTTCCCACAATGCTCCAACATAGCCTTAGTTCCTTGCATTGGCAATTCCAATTGTCTTGCAAACTCAAATGGCCACCTTCCCTTTGATGGCCTCCTTTTCTAGGGGAGACGAACAAGAGGTCATGTGTTGACCTCCAAATCCATAGGGGGCCAGATAGTAATTCCTACTGACCTCTAGGCACTAAGTCATCCCTGGCTACATTCAGATCCAGAAGCTTCACTTCAGTAGTGGGATTCAAATTATTTACTACCGGTTCTGTGGGCGTGGGCTTGGTGGCATGGCATGGCTTGGTGGATGTGGCAGGGGAAGAATACTGCAAAATCCCCATTCCCTCCCCACCCCATTAACCTACTTTCCAGCTCCATTCTCCTGTGCAGGGCAACAAAAGAAGACCCAGCTGATCAGCTGGGACTCGGGAGGCAGAGAATAGATGGGGGTGGGGCCAGTCAGAGGTGGTATTGACCAGTTCTCCGAACTTCTCAAAATTTCCACTATAGATTTCTCCAGAACTGGTCAGAACCTGCTGAATATCACCTCTGCTTCACTTCCTACAACAGGGATGTGCTGAAATGGCAGCTGCTACGTGTAAAGAAAAAGGTCAGGAAAATTAAATAATCAAGGCTAAAAATTCAGGCCAATGCACCAAGCAGATGATGATCCTGAAAGCTTTTAAGACAAAAATGGGGCAGAGACATATCCTTTTTAAACAATCCTGAACCAGATGTGTCCATGGAAGAGGCAATGTCAAAAAAGCTAGGAACCATGTTCAATAACATGGTTGCAATTGCAATCTTCCAACACCATTGGTCAACATAGCCAACAGTAAGAGATGCAGGGAGATTTAGCTTAGCAGTAAAAGGAGACCTCAGCTTATTCACCTCAGGAACATCCCTTCTGTAACATTGCCAAGTAAAATACCAGAATACAAACTTGACTCAGGGCAGCATTCCCCAACCTTTCTGACTTTGCATACCCGTGGAGGGTCGGGGTGTGTGGAGAGAGGGTGGTTCTGTACAAGTGACAAGCAAGCGGTACCCTCAGTTCCATTTGCACAAGCGACGTGCACATGCACCCACCAGTTGCACAAATGGAGCTTCATGCGTGTGCACACATTCACCCACCGCATCCACAGCCTGGTGGCTGTAGTAGGCCACGGCCTGAGGATTAGGGACCCCTGGCTTAGGGGTCTCTTATCTTTCTATTTAACCCCAATAATTATCTTTGCTGCAAGAAAATCAAGAAGGCATCTTTCTCAATATCGAAAAGGTGTTTTTGCAGAAACACGCCTGTACAACCATAGTCACAGGAGTGTCAAACTGGCGGCCGGTGGGCCAGATGCGTCATGTGCAGGCCACGCCCACTCCAGCTCTGCGAATGGGAAAAATGCCACAAAATGTCATGTGATGGCAATATAATGCGGCGAGTTTGACACCCGTGGTCTTTGAGTTCCTTGCTTTTAGCACTGATTCTTGAAAAATAGAGGATCCAAATTCTGAAGCCCAACAATAATTCTGCTACATGCCTGGAACCCAGAAATATCTGCAGGACCCAGTGCTTTAGTTAAAACAATGAAAACAACAGTACACCATTATGTTGCAAGGTCCTCTATTTTCATATTTGTGTGTGGTTTTTTTTACCTGCCCCCCTGCAGATACTTTTGCCTGCTTCCTGCGTAAAATTTGTGCATCTGTTCAGACGGAGACAGAATGACATCCAGAATACACATGGAAGTATTTTTGCTTTACAATACCTGTTTCCAGTCTATTTTTCCAAAGAGGAAATCCCAAAACGAACACTAATAAAAAAGCATGCTTCAAAAGGAGGAAGGTTAGAACTTAAAAAGAAAAACAAAACAAATAATCTACACGTAACAGAATACAGTTTTCACTTAACTACCACCCACTATATATCCCTTCTTACCACACCACTTTATTAGCAATTTATTCTTGATTGAAATTATTTTGGTTTTCAAACTGTGGTTATGAAATTGAATTGGCATAGCAGCACAGATCAGCTTTGTCAGAATCTTCTTCCTAACAACATTGTGAAAATTTTAGAAGTTTAAAATGCAACCTGTTGTCTGTCTGCTCTTTTAAGAGAAAAGCCCTGAATTCATTTTTCGTAACTTGGCAGGCAAATGATCCTCCAATCTTGCCCCTAGGGTATGCAAGAGTTGAGGTCTCTGCTGGAATTCGAGGTTCCCAGTGGACCGAGCCAGGAGCTCTGATTTGGTTTTGAAGGCAGCCAACTTCAACTTTTCACCTTCCTCCTCCATGTTGCAGACAGAACTGATCTGCTGGATTTTCAAGAGGTCACCAGTGCTGCAAGCTTTCTCAACATTGGTGGAGCAAAGGCTTGGGATACCTCTCTGGAGATCCACCTTCCCTGTACAAAGCCTCTGAAATTTGCTGGGAAGGCGGCTGCTTTTCTCTTCAAAAAAATCGAGACAGTCAAGAGAGGAGATCTTTTCCCGTCGACTCCTATGACTCCCAGTAGGGGTGTTCAGAGGTGATGGAAGAGCCAAATTCTCTTCTTGCTCTTTCACACTATAGGGAGGCGTTGGAACTTCAAAGGTGCTATGAAATTGGGAATAATCTACACGGAAAAAGCCATCTTCCAGGGACATCACAGGAAGGAACCTGTGGCCCCAGAGGACTTCATCTTCTGTATAAGATGTTCTGGCTTGGCATGTCATTCCTAAGAGAAGAAATTAGTAAAAGAATCAAAGTTAGGTGCGTATATTATAATACCACTCTTCCTGGAGCTCCTTCTTGGCTTCGTCCTTTCCTTGTGCTCTGCTCAGATGTGACATAGTCTGTTTAGCTGGATGCGACTTGTGCCACATACAATCCCACAAAAGCCTTGAGCAAGGGACCCCATCAAATCGTTACTAAATTGTACTGATTTAACCTAAAACTGGGTGGACAGCCATGAGTTTGATTGCCCGTTTCAAAGGCAATCAGGCAGAAAACAAACACATTAATCTGCCTCAGTTACTCTATTTTTGCTGAATCTAAGATGTCCTTCCAGTTTGAAAGATGTATTTTCTCCCGGGGGGGGTGGGGGTGGGGGGAGGGAGAAAAATAATACAGTAAGTTTTAATGGGACAGAAGGGGAAAATCATTAAACAAATTACTGAAGAAGAACATGTGCCAACAGAACATAATTAAGCAAATTGAAAAGAAATGAAATGAAACTTTTTGTCCGAGCACCAGACATGATCTTCTAGTTGGGTTGGCCCAGGCACACAACTGCGTCGCCCGCAGCCGGAAAAAAATGTTGCGTGCCGCTAATCTAGTCACTCTGGCAGTTTTGCTACATTTCCCCATGCCATCTCTCATTAGGCTGATTGCTCCAAGGTTTGATTTGGCTCTATGTAAGCTTTCTCCTGCCTGACCTGGTGGTGTCGGGCTCCCTTTGTGCTTTCCTAGAGAAGACACAGCTTTGTTCAACCATAATCTGGTCAGGAGTGGCATTTGGTTTGGATGGAACTGGGGGAAAGCTTCCCCTCTTACCCACTGTACTTGCTTCTATTATGTGAACAGAATCACTACTCTGCATGAGATTAGCACTGGAATTCTTTTTTTCTAAAAAGAAGCAGCTATTAATACGCCTTAGGCTGTTCACAGTTTAACAAGTAACAATGAAGGCAGATTTAGGAATATATATGCCATGATTCTGTGACAGCAATTTGGGACTCTGTTCAAACAATATTCAATTTGTATGTAACTATAGCTAACTCTTGACTTATGATAACAATGGAGCCCAGAATTTATGTTGCTAAGAAAGGCAGTTGGTGAGTTTTCCCCCCATTTTTGCGATCTTTCGTGCCACAGTTGTTAAGTGAATCTGGCTTCTCCATGGACTTTGCTTGTCAAGAAGGTTGCAAAAGGAGATTGCATGATCCCAGAACATGGCAACCATCATAAATTTGAGTCAGTTGACAAATGGCCAAATTTTGATCACATGACCATAGGGGCTGTAAGTGTGAAAAATGGTCATAAGTCACTTTTCTCAGTGCTGTTGTAATTTTGAATGGCCACTAATCAAACTGGTGTAAGTCAAGGACTACCTGTACACATTCAGTGGTTGAGGGCAACCTAGATACATCAAAGCAATTTCCATTTGGATCCAGCTGTGAAGGATTACACCAGATTACAAAGATATACAAGCACTTTTAGTTCTTCCACGATTCTCTTGGCATGAAAAAAGTTTTATTAGCACTAGTTGTCCAATGCCTAGCAGCCTTTATGGCTAGTGCATTCCCTGAGCTTCATGTATCCCAAACTTAAAATAACCAAATAAATAATAATTACAGACAAGGACCATATAGAATCTCAGCCAAGAAACGTTGAACCAGGCAATCTGTACAAATTATGCAAATTAAACATAGCATCTTCCCTTATTTTGCATAATGTATTGTACAGTGGTTCCATTTTTCATTACAGGTCCTTTTATTTTTAACCACTTATAAGGAGGGTTTTTTTTTAAACACAATTATTACATAATGTGTTCTACTCTGTCAATTGTGAGGAAAAGCAGCAGCAAAGGACTGTTAAATGAAGTTAACACACCTTGAACAGCTACAGATTTTATTACACTGCTTGTCTTGCTTCTGAGATCACCACACATTTTTAGGTGGATCTCAACAGCCTCAAGGACTAGAAATCTGTGTTACAAATAATGGAAATGTGTTGACTGTTCTGATAACTGGATTCTAAACTCTCTTCCATATACCTTCCTAAATTATAGCACTGGTATATCCTGAGTCTTTTCAAACATCACTAGTGGCAAACTCACCACAACGCTCTGCAAAAGAATAATTATGAAGATAATCTAAAGGAAGTTAGTTGCTATATCCCACCTTTGTTATGTACAATTCAAGGCACACCATTACATATGCCTAAAGAAGGCCTAGAATTTACAATCCCTGTTTTCTAATCCAGTACTTTAACCGTTACACCAAACAATTTCTGTGTCAGTCTTGTTTCAGTTCAGCCTTTCCCATTCCCAAGATGGTCTAGGACTTCAACTCCCAGAATCCTCAGAGTCTACACACCCACTGGCTAGGAATTCTGGGTGTTGCCACATTGAGAAAAGTGACTTTAGTCCTATTTCTTTCAAGGGAGTTAAAGCATAACTAATCATCTTAGAAAGGTCAGGAGAACGCCATATGGCAATTTAGGAATGGGGTGGGCAGAGGATCGTGCAAGCACTGTGTTTGTATAATTCATCCATCAATTCCAGTTCATGCAAAGGTAAGTAACAACCTGTGGCTCCATTTGCTGGTGATCAATCCCTCAGTAGTTATTGACTTAGCTCAGTTTATTTAAGTATGTTTTACTACCCCTGTTTAAAAGTCATACATGCCTAGGAAGTGCTGAAGGTAAAATACACAAACGGATACAGAATGTATATTCAGAGAAATGATTAAGAAACCCCTTTAATCTCTAATTTGGGAGTATGATTCATACTCTTAATACAGAGAATCCTGAAAATGGAGATAGAAGTGAAACCAGAATTTTTTCCTTTTGGGACTAATGGAAAAAGAACTGGAGAAAAAAAATCGGGAATTTTGCTGCTATATATGTTGACAGCAGCAAGACTATTATATGTGCAAAAATGGAAGGACACTTCGATAGCTACCATGGAAAAATGGTTGCAGAAGTTGATGGAGTTGGCTGAAATGGCAAAACTGACCACTCTGATTAAAGAAAAAAAACATAAGTACTTTCATTTCCACGTGGAAACGGCTTCCAAATCTTGTACTTGATGTGGAAAAGAATGTAATTTTGACTTTGAGTTTTACAGATTAGATTTACAGAAATGACTTGTTCTTATTATTATGGAAAAACAAAAACCTGGGATCTCATGTTAATGCCCTATTCTACTGCAACAGAGAGAGTCGGAAGTTCAAAGCTTCTTTTTCTTTTCCCTACATTTCCTCACTTCTCTCTCCTCCTTCCCCTCCCCTCTCACTGTTCTTTTATTTACTTTTGCATTTTGTATTTTATAATATTTTATAACTTAATAAAAATGTTTGGAAAAAAAATTATGGAAAATTTATTAAAAGAGGAAGATTCAATGGGGAAAAAAAGAAAAGAAACTTTTAAAATCTCCCGGGGTAACAAAATCTTTTATCTCAGTATTTTGTTCCAAGCAGAGCATGGGCCCAATACCAGAGGTGGAATTCAGCAGGTTCTGACCAGTTCTGGAGAACTGGTAGCAGAAATTTTGAGTAGTTCGGAGAACCGGCAAATACCACCTCTGACTGGAGATTTTACAATATCCTTTCCCTGCCGTGCCCACCACAGAACTGGTAGTAAAACAAATTGAATTCCACCATTGTCCAATGCCTGTTCAGGGTTGTACACTCTGAGGATTCTGGGAGTTGCAGTCCTAGACCAGAGTTGGCAGGAGAGCAATGATGTCTAAGAGTTTCTACCATCTTTTGGCTGGAAACAGCTAGAATCACATTGATAAACTAACAAGAAAATCCAAGATCCAAGAATAAGTAATATTTACTAAAGAAAGTAGAAGCCAATACCAAAAGAACTGTAGCAACTAAAATTACAGGTAGTCTATAGTTTATTACCATAACGGAGCCTGCTAATTATGGTCGTAAGTCATAACAGTCTGACACATGACTGATCTGATTTTATGACCTTTTTTGTGGTGGTTGGTAAGTTAACATCACAGTCCTTAAGTAAACCTATTGTTCACTATGGGCATTTTTGCCCAAAACAGGAGTAAACATTGTTTTTTGGGAAAAACATCATACACTGCAATAACATGAGTAAGTAATGTGACTATAGCTACAAGTAGTTGTAAATGCAGGCTGCCTAAGCACCCGAGATGTGACTATGAGGTGGGATACCTAACCATGGCAACCTTGGAACCAAGTTGTAAGTATCTTTGGAGGGGGAGTGTTGAAACAGTTGCTAAGTGAACAATCTTGTCAAGGGTTATCCATATGGAAAAAGTTTCCCTTTAAAAAATAAACTAAAATAAAAGGAGGTTTCTATGATTAGTTTTTCCTTCCACCTTAGTTAATGACCTACTTGGCTTCCTTTTTTTTGAGTGGGTTGGTCTTGTTTCTATCTGGCCGTTGCTTGTGTAGACTCTAATTTGTTCTTGTTATTGCCAGGCCCTATGAGAATTAGCAGTTTTGGAACAACAACAAGCGCCACAAAACTCGCATGTTCATGATGTTCAACAGTATCCAACTATAGGTAGTCCTTGACTTACTACCACAATTGAGCCCAATATTTTCATTGCTAAGAAAGGCAGTTGGTCAGGGGTGGGATTCAACTGGTGTTACTACTACATTCTGCGCCTGACGCACACTGTGCATGCATGTAGAACAACCTTAGGCTGTGCCACTCGGACAGTTGAAAAGCACTGCGTGTGGGTGCACAGCGTTTGAAAAGCCTCTTTTCCCCTGCTTTTTCAACCTCAGCTGTGCCGCGCAAAGCAGCTGAGGTTGAAAAAGCAGGAAATAAAAGACAGGTAAGAGCCCGGGTGGGCGGGTGGACTAAATAGCAGCAAACACTGAACTGGTTCGGTGTCTGCTGCTCTTCAGAGCAACCGGCTCTGTAGAACCGGGCAGAACCGGTAGCATCCCACCCCTGCAGTTGGTAAGTGAGTTTTGCTCCATTTAACTTGCAGTTTGTTAATCACTGCACTGCTTAAGTGAATCATATGGTCATTAAGCAAATCCAGCTTCCCCCCATTCACTTTGCTTGTCAAAAGCTGTCTGGGAAGGTTTCAAATGGCGATCACATGATCCCAGGATGCTGCAACCATCATAAATACATACCAGTTGCCAAGCGATCATGTGATCATGGAGATATTGTAACGATCCTAAAGTGTGAAAACTGGTCATAAGTCACTTTTTTTCCAGTGCCGTTGTAACTTTAGAATGGTCACTGAATGAATGATTGTAAATTGCAAACTACCTGCAGTCATAATTTCCTGTCCTTGCTCTGCATTTCCTTCTGACAACTCCTAAGATTCCTTGCTTCTTGGCCATGTTGAATGGGGTTGATTGGAGTTGGTTCAAAATATCTGGAGGGCAACATCTGCCTTCCCAGAGTTTAGGGCAAAATGGCCTTTCAGGCAGAATTAAATCTATAGGGTCTGGCCCCTCTCTTTTTAGGAATGTGTAAAACATTCCAGAAGTTTTTTGACCTAAAGGCCGTAATAAAGAATTGTTGAAAATCTCAGAAAAGCTGAAATACATTTATATTTTATTATACTTTTATATTCAATATTTAAAATAATATTTCTATGGCCCAGAGTGTGAGAGAATTGGGCAGTTTCAAAATATGATAAATAAATAAAATATGATACTTAAATCATATGAAATCCAGAATGAAAATTCATTCACAATTCTAAGTTATACAATCCTTGCTTGGGGGGAAAACTACAAGTGTATCTTGTGTCAGGAAAACTGTGGTTTGTTTTAATTTTGCCCTGTTTTTTTGATAGGTTCACTACTGAAAAAGAATATGGTATATTAGCATGCTGTACTTAGAGAAAAGTTCAGCCCATACCTAACCAAGACCTATTTATTTTCTAAGTTAAGATTCAGTCAAAAATATTGAGCAGCTATTCTATCTTGTCCTCCTTTATCATTAAGGACAAAGTTCAGTAAGAAAGGATTGGAAAACAAAAAAATGAATGTAATCACGTGGTTACAATTGGAAGGTGATAATAACCCAGCATAAAATACTGGAAATGCTGAAATGGTAATCAAGAATCACTAGTGGTCCCCACCCAGTACCTTTCCCCATTTGATCCTCTCTACGTGGATTGATTAGAAGTCTTCTGTTCCAACCCCCTGCTGAAGCAGGAACCATTTCAGAAAATGGTTGTCCAATCTCCTCTTAAAAACTTCCAGTGTTGGAGCATTCACAACTTCTGGAGGCAAGTTGTTCCACTGATTCATTGTTCTAATCTTCAGGAAATTTCTCCCTTGTTCGCTTCTCTCCTTGATTAGTTTCCACTCATTGCTTCTTGTCCTGCCTTCTGGTGCATTTTTTATAGGTAAGCCAATATGCCTCTGATTAGTGATCACCACACAAAGTATCAAGAATGCCTTTGAAATGCAGATTACATTCTATCTTTATACTAGATCTTATACTAGTGAAGATCTAGGATATGGTCCTTCAGCTAAAACATGTAGTCATTTAAATGCACAATATTTTATGGGAACCAACCCACCTTCTTTGGCTCAACTATAGGATTAAGCTATGCACAATCCATTCCTTAAGTTGGTTATCTAATTGGAATCAATCATTACAGTAAAAAATAATTTCACAAGATTTTGGCGACATTAGCAAAGGAATGTGCCGTTTCCTTTTATGTAGCTTTTACCCACAAACTTTTTTGTCCTGCCCTCAGTGCTTTGGAGAATAGATTGACCTCTTCTTCTTTGGGGCAGCCCCTTAGATATTGGAACACTGTCACCCTTATTCCTTCTTTTCATTAAATTAGACACAGCCAATTCCTGGAACCATTCTTTGTATGTTTTAGCTTCCAGTCCCTTAATCATCTTTGTTTCTCTTCTTTGCACCCTTTCTAGAAGCTCAATATCTTTTTCTAGCTGCCTACTTTCTAGGCAGTTGGCCAAAAGTTCTGGGTTACAAGAATTACAGGTACCCACTAGGGTATCAGGTTGATGAAGGCTCTTGTTGAGTCATCAGCTGCCAGGAACAATTTCTCTTAGGGAACATCTTGTCCTCCACCAAGGACAAAGATATTTAATAATAGAGAAGGCAATCTTTTCCCAGCAGTTTTGCTACCAAGAGAGTAATAAATTAAAAAATGGGAATGTACAGTAATCAGCAAAAGAGTTTTCTTGGGTCTATCCACTCATTTTAGAGGTACTCTAAATGTCTTTTAATAGGAGCCATTCCAAAGAACAATCATTCCTGCACAGATTCTGCAGAACTTGAAGGCAGGTACTGCAGCTGAGCTGGCAGCTGACATCTGGAGAAAGTTGGCTCAGATTAAGCCCTGGAATAATTTACGACCCAGTGGGGAGGGAATTTTTTTCCCCCTTCTTATCTTCAAAGGCAAAATGTCTCCTCTATTTTAGCAATGATAAATATGTCAGAACTCAAAAAGCATCTACACACTTCTAATGTTGCTTCATTAAATAGGTGCCCTTGAATCAGAATGGCCGTGCTACAGGTCACATAATTAACTTTCTGTATCAGTTGTATTTATTATTTGAGTCTTGGGGTTCAGCAAAAGGACAGAAGTTCTCCACTGTTCTTAAAGGGTGAGTATAAGATGAGTGGGGAAAGGGGCATCCATGACCTGCATTTGTTATAAGGCATGTGAAAGAAGGAAAGTATGTGTGCTTTCATTGCATAGACATGGCTGTCTTTTTGACTTCTAAAAAATATTTCATTCACTCACTGAAAATGAATTGGTTGCATATCCCACTTGTCCTTTAAGTCTGAACAAAGGGAGGACTCAGTACAGGGAAGCAGGCAACTGGCATAAAAATGCTTAGGGCTGATCAAGTTATTATGCATAATGAAGCAGCTTCCTCTGAGTGTAGCTGGTTTAAAGATTGTAGTAAGGTCTTAAATTCTTTCTTATTCATTTGCCCAGCTAATTTACATTCCTGATTATGTTACCTAGTTTGGTAATGAAATGTCAGAAAGAAATCCACCAAGCTCAAAGGACACTAAGCACCCCACAGTTTAACCTTGAGCTACAAATTCTCTTCTAATGGTAACTTAGAATTCCCATTCTTATAATTGAGAAATTACTTATCAGCGAAATATTCAATCATGCTATATGGGGGAGGAGGGAAAAGAGACATAAATTTGAGACAGAATTCAATACTAAGATGAAGGTACAGGGCATGTCTTAAAGCATGTGAAAGCTTTGATATAAAAAAATATTATTTCAGGGCAGGTGGGGAAGAAAAAGCTTTCTTTTTCAATACTGAAGAAATCACCATAGTCACAGATAATGCTAAATAGTTTCCAAGATCAAAGGTTGATTTCCAAGCATATTGGAATCCACATGAGGAATCTTAACTAGCTTGTAGGTAGAATATATAAACTGTACTCACATAATAGTTCTCCACACTAAACTGTGATTTATTTAATTTGTTGATTTTTAATGGTCTATCCAAGACTATGAACTGCTATCAAGGCTGACTTGGCATTTGCAGCTTTCCTTTCCAGATATACCAATATACCATTGCCTACTAACGTGAATAGCCTTGGGCTAGCTGTCCCAATGTTCACTGAGCAATGTAATAATAAATAGTAAGTATAAAAAAGGAAGAAGAAATAATGTTTCTGATATACTTTCCCAGTTGACAAATTAACTATTGGGGATGAGCATCAAATCTGAGTGTAAAAAATGCTAAGAATCTGGTTCCTATCTCATCTTTGCCCTAACACACAAATGATTGCGTTAGGGAAGTGTTAGCCCTTTGAAGTAGTTCAAATAAGAAGCACAACAGTGAGTACTAATTTTACCATTATTGTAAGATTACATTTAGAGAATCTTGCAAATCTGAAAAGATTTCTCTCCTCCTTTACTTTTACTTCCCAGAAAACTAGGGAAAATCTATTTTGAAATCATTCTGTGAGCTGAGATACCTTTTGCCTGACGGTTATCTAGTTTGCATTCTTCTTGTTGCCTCTCACAGTCATTCTCACATAGCATTACAGAAAGTCAATCTACCTCTCCCTCTTTCCATATCCACAATAACCTTGCACTTACTTACAAGGCATCACAAGAAGAAAATACAACAGGCTTGGAAGTAACAACCCAATATTAAGTTTATATGGGCGGCACCTGATTGTAATCACTTACCTGTAGTTTCAACAATGCCTTCAAGGATTACGACAATTTCAAACTGCTCGCTCCTTAGGGATCTTTGCGAGAGGGCAAAAAAGGGACTCTTATCACTGATTTCATGACAGATGGTTAGAGGAGAAACGAGGAACAGTTGGTCGGCCCCGGTTCCAAATCCAACATCAAGCTCACATTGGTCTAGTGGCAAGAATTCTCCTTCTGGTGTCTGTCGTGACTAAAGATAAATGGAATGAAAGAGAAATAATTTCAGCAAATTAACTAATTTTGCAGCAGCAAAAGTGGGGAGGGAAACTCTTTTCAGTAATATTCAGAGCATCTTGCAGACTGCAGAGGCTTGATAAAAATGAACGAGAGATGTTAAAGTCAAACTCAATGGCAAAAATGGATTTTATTGGGACGGATTTAAAGTCAGCCCCCTTCTACCATTTACTGAGCAGTTCGGATCAGATTCTCCATGAGGCCTGATCCAAGACAGGATCCATTCCTCCAACTGCAAGTGGTAGGGCACAGCACTATCACCACCGTTGCTAGCCATTCAGGGGTGTCTGATCCCCGATGCACTCTATGGATCAGCACTCTCCACGCACCTCAGTCTCACACCACCTCGTTTAGATTGCCACAGTCATCCTGGTGTCATCCTTTACAGCAGGGGCCTCCAACCTTGGCAACTTTAAGACTTTTGGACTTCAACTCCCAGAATTCCTCAGCCAGCAAAACAAAGCTGGCTGAGGAATTCTGGGAGTTGAAGTCCACAAGTCTTGAAGTTGCTAAGGTTGGATGCCCCTGCTTTATAGTGTCCAGCCAGAAGATACTAGAGTGGCCCTTCTCCTTTTTCCTCTCATCAGTCCCAGCATGACTGATTTTTTTTTAGTGAATCAGCTCTTGGGACATGACCAAGGTGTGACAGCCTCGGTTTAGCAATCTTGGCTTCGTGATATTTTTGGTGAGGTAAAATGATAAGCAGATCACTTATAACCAGGCATCCCTGTGGGTTGCCTAATTTAATACCCAGTGTTCTAAAGCCCTGTTTGTTATATGGATTAAAATCCAAAATCTAAAATCATTTAATTCAAATGCTTTGAAACCTTCCCAACTTCAAATGCCCTCCAACTGAATTCCCAGCTCAAAATTCCCAGCAAAGACACATACCAAAAATACATAAAGATCCTCAAGTTGGAAAAACAAATGAGTTAGATACATTCATTTCTGAAGTTACCAAGCTCATCAGACCTGAGTAGATCATGACAGTTTATCCTCTCTTCAGATTTGAAAGAACCTGTCAACATGGGTCCTGGTGGGTTCCTTCCTTGTGGAGAGGGAAGGCTGACGTTACATGTAGAGTTAGCAGCAGAAAAGTTGAGATGATGGATTTTAGGATGGCACTTAGGATGGCAATTCCAACTCTGTCCTCAGATGGGTAGCATGAGCTTTAAAGCATTGCCTTAAGTGCCATTAAAGGTAATAAGAATAGTTGGAAACTGTAGTTTGGTAGCAATACCCATGATTTGCTGACAAAAGATCTTCTGCACCATCTCATTAAAAACAAGAGCAAGTTAGCTGAATGAATAATTTCTGATTGAGATTTCAGAAGGTCATAATCAGAACAGCCAAGAATGAGTAGGTTACATCTGAGAGTCCAATAAATGAGCTCAGATATTTGCAACCCAGGTCTGTTAGCCCTAACTTAGGGAAACTCAAGAGGACAAAAAAGTGGAAGATTCAGTTACAGTAAGGACCTTCAAACTTGGCAAGTTTAAGACTTGTGGACTTCAACTCCCAGAATTGCTGAGCTAACATGACTAGAGGAGGAATTCTGGGAGTTGAAGTCTAGAAGTCTTTAAGCTGTCAAGTTTGAAGACCCCTGATTACAACAATGTTTCTCAATGGCAACAACTTTAAGATGTGTGGGCTTCAACTCCCAGAATTCTAGTATGCTGGCTGGGGGAATTATGAGAGTCAAAGTCCACACATCCGAAATTGCTAAGGCTGAGAAACAGTGAGTTATAGCATTACTTTATGTGTTTATTTGATTGTATATTCTGGGTTTAAGTGGGATTACAAACCGGGTATAGCATTTTCCTGCCCTGTGCTCATTGGTAGGACTAAGAAAAGGTTATTTGCAGACTGATCTTGGAAAAATGCCTTTTTTGCAGAGACAGCTAAAGTGTCCTCTTTGCAGATCAAGTTTAGGATGGCAGGGCAAGCACAGCAGTAGCCTTTCCCTCCTGGACAAGTAGATGTGTTTTGCTCAACCATGGTTTACAGATAAACCATACTTCACACAACAAATTAAAGAAAAATCACAATAATAGACCACATGGATTGGATTCCCAGAACTTGCAAATTTATACATGTTTTTCTATCGTATGTTAAGAAAGATTGAATTAATCTGTATTCATAAGTGGGTAGGTACGATTGCAGTTTTAAACAGAGTAGCTAATGCTTCGTACCCAACGTCTTTTTTAAATAAAAGAACTGGGCTTACATTTTATGCTAAACTATTTTATGCTTTTATTACTGTTGAGTCACACATTCGTGCCACAAAAATCCAGACACCTATTGGAAACCATATCTGCTATCTGTGATTGCCTGGATTTTCATAACCCAGAACCGGTAGCCCTATTTGTTACATAAACCACAGCAGGCTACGTTCACAGACCATACATTACAATTACAAACCATAATGGCTGAATTTGCAATACACTGCAGAGCTAAAGCTAATATAATTTCCTGATTAATATGTTGTGTGAACCTCTTTTGAGCATTTTGATGACTTCATGAGGTGGTTTTTTTTGTTGTTGATTAATTTAGATATTTTTCCAAGCATCTAAGGAAAATTGTCGTTTGAGCTCCCTCTCTCCCTCCCAACTCCTTTTTGCCACTCCACTAAATACAAAAATCAATCACAGTAAACCATAATATGTTTCTGTCTGGCTTTGACTTAGTGCAATGAGTAAGCCCAGACACTCTAGCTATGAATCAGGGTACATTACTTCTTTGTAAATACGCATAGAAGGATGGCATAGCAGTAGGTGTACCTCCTTTAAATCCAGAAGAACCTCAGGTGAAGATATGAATTCTTGGAGCTTAATATATGTCTCCTAAGAGTTAGATATTCTTTCTTGTTTTTACAATATTTTTTTGTTATTGTTGGCTGCCTTGTTTAATAATGTTTTGCCAGTCTTGTGGTCAGTAAATAGCTTGGTAGCTCATCTAATCTATAAGCACAAGTTTGCTCAGCATTGCTTTTTTGCTCCTAATGCAAAAAAAGATTGCTGAACAGATGTGAGATGTGCCTGCTTTGTTTTATGATTTCTGATTAATACCACAACCCATGGTTTAATACAATTTATGAATATAGCCTTCTTTGGAAAGATTTACCTTCTTCATGAGAGCGATTGATGAATGGAAAGGTGGAAAGTACTCTCTGATACCTGACCATCAAAAGCCTAACCTCAATGCCTTTTCAAGATATGATAAGATACTCCAGGTTACTACTAAATAGAACAAGGAGGGAAAACCTCTGAATTGTTACATATTTAGGAAATGCAGGATTGGGAGGCTGGAAGAAAGCATTAAATCCACCCTAATCTATCTAAATTCATTTAAGTCCAAAATATGAAATGATTAATTCTTATTTTATCCATACTGAAGTGAGCTACTGTTATTTAGCTGGTTGCAGAAATCTAGAATGCCATGAAATATCAGCAGGGCTACTATGCCTATTTGCCATCATTGATGACCATATGGGTTTTTTTGTAGCCCAGGCATTTGCCTAATCTGCAAACTAATTTTTTTACAGGATCTGAAATATAAGATAGGAGAATTAATGGAAAGACATGTCTTGCTCGAAACCCAGCATTTCACTTTCTTTTAGAATCATTTATTTGAGATAGATAAGTTACAGCATTGCTTCTCAAACTTGGCAATTTTAAGAAGTATAGACTTCTAACCCCCAGAAATGATGGTTGACTAGGGAGCTGTGCTCATATATCTTAAAATTGCCATGTTTGAGAAACACTGAGCTGTAGTTAGCCTGAGCTGACAGAATGGCAGCCAGTACAACATCAAAACCATATTTTAAAATATATCCCAGAGCAGAATTAAGCTTGACCCAATTGGCACGAATGCCCTATGCCACCTTAACTTTTCCTTAAGAACTGTTAAAGACACAGGAAAGAAAATATTCCACATCTTTTCATTTACTTTGGAACACTGGATATTAGAAACTTGATCCTTATGTTTACTTTGACATGTTAGGAACTAGAACCTTGACTTCTAAAAGCTGAAATGTTCAGATTGCTCAGTTCAGCTGGAAAGGAAGAAGTGCACCCCCTATCTTGCTTTTGACCTTCAAATGCCACCATTGGAATCCAGCTCTAGGAAGTGCTGCGATGCCTGCTGGTGCCAACTGCCACAACTTGCCTGCTGTCAAAAGTCTCCAGCACTCACCAGGGTTTGCATTTGATAGTCAAAGCACTTGGTTTGGACTGGGGCCACAAGTCAGAGAACAACTCGTTCCAATACGAGTGACAGCTTGAGGCACTTCCTACTCTTGTGCCGTGGCTACAGCAGGATGGGGAGGAAACGGTTCTTGCCAGGAGGAACAAGGGCTGGCTAGCTGCAGATTTCCTTCAAATGCCACCCTCCAATAAGAGCAGACCTTGGAATCCATCCTGAGTTTTGTGTGGCTAATTCAGTTTGCAAAAGAAAAAAAGAAAGAAAGAAAAAGAAGAAAGAAATCATGTTCAGTTTCACACCTTGGAATCTGTGACCCTGACAAGATAATTCTTGCCATGGGGAAGGATGAGATAAAAATGTTATACTCTGCTTACAAGTATCTTGTATACCAAAATAAAAAGATAAACAGTAACACAATATTATCAGCATTACTCTTTATAATAATTGGCATTCTTTTATTACGGGACATAGACCAGCATAATGCTTTGAGAATGCCTTAGTGGTTTTGAGAATGCCTTAGTGGTTTTTATGGCGGGGTGCTATTTGTTATTCTATGGGGTACGTTTTATGACCAAAAATTGATGAGAAACGAGTATGGACTGAAACAGAGGGTCAGTTTATTACCATTTAAAGTAATAGGACTTGTCACTACTAACTGGTCTTATTGGTTTCAGTGGGGCTTAATTACAGCTAACTATTTAAAATACAAATATATGCATGTATAATGAAGAGTGATGAGCCAGTTTGGTGTAGTGGTTAAAGCAGCAGGGTAGAAAATGGGAGACTGTGTGTTCTAGTTCTGCCTGAGGTATTAAAGCCAGCCACTCTCTCTTAGCTCTAGGACATAAGCAAGGGCAAACTACTTATGAAAACCTTGTCAGGACAACTGCAAAGGACTAGTCCATTAATCTCTAAGCGTCAAGGCAGATTCAAAGGAACAAATGAACAAACAAACAAAAAAGTCAAGAAGGAGCCCCACGCAGTTCAACAGGATTCATCATGGAATTTAGTATGTCAACAATTAACTTACAATGAACAAGAAATGGATAACTATTAGGGTCTATTAGAATATGTGAAGAGATAGTCCTCAGTAGGGACCATAATTTCCACTGCAAAGCAAAGTAGAGGTGAAATGCACCCAATTTTGACTTTTTTTTTGCCATGATTGCTAAGCAAATCACTGCAACCATTAATTGAATCATGTGGTCATTAAGTAGATCCAACTTCTCCCATAGACTTTGCTCGTTGGAAGCCAGCTGGGAAGTTTGAAAATGGCGATCACATGACCCTGGTATGTTGCAACCTTTGGTACTGCATTCCCATAGTCAAGCGCTTGAATTTTGGTCAAGTGATCATGGGGATGCTACAATGGCCATAAATGCAAGCATTTAGTTGTAAGTCACTTTTTTCAATGCCATTGTAACTTCGAATGGTCACTAAACAAATGGTTGTAAGTGAAGGATTATCTATACTATAAATCTGGAAAGTGCCACTTATAATAGAATTGTAGGAGAAGGATCTTAGCAGGTTGGACCTAGACCTAATTAGGAATTTATTAGACTTAGTTTTCACCAATTCCAGTTCTATTACTAAGCAGTGGTAAATCTACTACTCATATCATTTCTACATATGTTACAGGTGAGGAACTCCAATGATAGAATTATGGAGGAAAGGATACTTAATTTTGTGTATATGGGGGTGAGATGGGGGTGAGATGTCCATGTATTATTACAATTTGTGCAGAGATATGTATGGATTATTCATATCATGCGTCTAGATTCTTCAGTGTCACTGTGGTTTAAGAATATTCAAAATTCAATATTCATTGGCTTGCACTAAGCTCTGGAAAGATATTATACACAAGTTGAGAGCTTGAGAGTGCAGTTAGTGTTATACTATTATCATTAAAAAAAAAAATCTAAACTCCCTTGAATTGTCAAAGGTCAACATTTCTACTGATGCTTTCATTAAGTAGGGTTATTTGTATTACACTCAACAATCAATTTATATGCTTTCTTTTAAAATGATATCTGTCTTTTTTTCTTCTGGGAGTAACATGTGCTCGGCTTGATTTTCTGAAAAATATCGAGGCAGCAGAAAGTGCATCCGGATTATTATAAGAACAAAAGCAGCCATTTCTGTAGTGCTACAAATTTCATTCAGCAATAACTGTCTGCCATTATATGTATCACATACACCTCACTAGAGTATCAATTGTAAAAACTGTGAGAAGCTTAAAAATACGCCATCTTTTACAAGTTGGAAGGAGATCCGAACTATACAAAAATAAACACAAGAAGTACTTATGTTGCTGTCTGAGAAAATTAAAAAAAAAATGAAAATAGAGATAGGCATGTACCTAGTTGTTTTTAGTTAATTGGAAGTCATCCTGCTAAAGATTTCTAGTCTTGCTAGCTTCTGAAATGGCGACTCTTATAACTTCTTGTGTCCACGCATGTTTCTTATGTACAGCATTGCACAGGCAAGGAAAAGACTAAATCGAACTAGCTGCAGTTTTTTTTGTTCTTTCTGTTTCTTTCTCGGGGGGTTCTTTTTTGTTTTCCAAAAGCAGATGTTCCAGACCTCTTTGTCTTCTCTGTCTTACAAATATCAGAATTATTTTAGTTCTTTTCTTTTCAGGTGGAAGGAAGTACATAGCACTGAGCTGTTATATTGTTGTACAAGTAAATAATAGTTACTTTACAACTTGTTATGATGATGATCTGTTTGACAGGTTCTGCCATATTATTTGGTAATCTAATGCTGTCTTCATTTGATGTCTCAGATTTGTAACTGACTTGGATGTAGTTTTAGACTCTGGATGTTTAACACCTTCTTCTTTATTGTGTGAAAGCCTATATTTCTACCCCAAAGACCCAGCCTAATGTTAGCCTTAGGTTCAGATAGGAAAGTTGTTTCCTTCATGCTACATGAAATTATGACAAAGAGGAAGTATATTTTGAATTCCTCACTGCCAAGGACAGACCTGTCTGCAGAGGTAAGAAGATATTCTTTGGTAGGAAATATTCAATTCCAGATAATTCAGAAAGGTATTCATTGTGTTTGGTTCCTTGCCCGCAGCATTTTCAGTGTTATTTTTCCTCCTGGCTGCTGTTCTGAGTATTGTTTGCTCCTGCTGTTGTAGAATGATTCTGACCTGGAAGAGAGTGGGCTGGGTGTAAATTGGTTTGGGTGAGGGCTCCTATGTTGAACAGATTGTCAGGAATGGCAGCTGTGGCAGTAGCACTGCAGGAATGGAAAAGCCTGGAATCTATTCTGTCTGACTGGTGGGGTCAAAGCAGAAAGCACTGGCCATTTATTGGCATTGCAGAACGTATGTAGGTACCAGTCAAGGCAGCAGAGGAAAAGTGGAATAGCATACTGCATGTGTTTAAAGACATTTTCTATTTAGCGTATTTCCTCTGTCTTTCAGAGCTGGCTTTATAAACATTTTGGATTTAAATCAAGCTTGCTTAAATCAAGCCACCCAAACTCAAAAGCCTAGGTCATTTGTGACGGAACCTTAGTACGTTCTCCTAATTTTTATTTGTGTATTAACAAAATAGATAGGCTACTCAATAGCAAAGTTCACCAACGACTTACTCAGAGGTACTTGCAAACATTCAATGACATTTTCTAACTTGATTGCTTATTGAATGTTTTCTGGGTTTCGAAGTTTGTTGGTTTTTAAAGAGAGAAGTTGTGAAGAGCTGAATTTATTGAAATTAATAAAATACACCCTGATCCTATGAACATTACTGGAAACAGTTCCCTAATAAGTGCAGAAGGCCGCAACTGTAAATCTGTAGTCTCTAGTTATATCCTCAAAATTAAATATCCAAAGCAAAATCTGGAATTGTGTATATTTTACCAATATCACAAAGCGTAGCAGTGAACATCTATTATCCTTAGAGTGCCGGCTGCAACTCCGTAAGCCCATTTCAGCATCTTTTTTAGAGCCCATTTATTCTTGGTTTAATATCTACTGGTGTGTATTATTTATACAGCAGCTTTCCTTTGCCACCCACTATCATGTATGAAATGTGCTTGCCTTCTCCCATAGCTCTTTGTTCCTCCTTTGCAGAGAGGGGAAAAAAAAATAAATAGTCTTAGAACAGGAAGCTTAAAGACAGAGCTTTGCTATGCCCTAGAGCAGAGCCGCCAAGATCCGCATGCAAGAAGATAGGAAGAATCTTACCCGCCACGAGCCTCCCTCCCTTCCAGGGAATCCTTTCACCCACCTTAATGAGTTTGCAACGGATCTGGGCTGAGACCATGTGGCTGTTGCGGAGGTTGCCCACCCGAAACATAAGGCAGAGTTTTCCATCTCGCTGCGAGATGACAGCAGCACGGCTAAACATTAGAGTTTCAGCACGTTTCTTGGGTTGGGACATTTTGATGAACATGCATCCGATGAGGAAGGCATCTACCACAGAGCCCAGCAGTGACTGGAACAGAAAAAGCACGATTCCTTCTGGACAGCGCTCAGTAATGTAGCGATGGCCGTAGCCAATGGTGGCTTCTGTCTCAATAAAGAAGAGGAAGGCTGAGGGAAAGTTGTAGACATTAGCCACACAGGGGTTATGTCCTGAACTGGGGCTCTGGTGTATATCTAGGTCCCCACGCAAATAAGCAATTCCCCACCACATGGAGGCCATCACCAGCCAAGCCACAGTGTAGGTCAACAAGAAAATGAGAAGGTTCCAACGCCACTTGAGGTCCACCAGAGTGGTGAAGAGATCGGAAAGGTAGCGACTGTTCTCACTGCCCAGGTTGCCATGCTGGACATTACAGCGGCCGTTCTTGTCAACAAAGCGCTGCCGTTTCCGATGGGATGGTGCAGCCACCACTGCCTGATAGTCATCGCCAAACTTTCTTCGCACAACTGACATCCTGAGGAGAAGGAGATTTCCTTGCACTCTGGGTGGTTAGTAGTAGGACAAAGGTTGGTTTCAGTGTGGAAACTCTGGTTGTCTCATGCAAGGGGCCCAACGTAGACAATCATCAGCAGAGCAGGCGGTAGCTGGTGGTCTCTTCCACTTGGCATGGGCAGTTGTTGGAGATCAGTGGAGCTGAATCTAGAGAGGTCTTTTCTGTGCCACTGCTTGGATAACTGCCAAATACTAGCACAAAATAAAATCCAGATGATTGTGGAATCTTTGATTATTTAAAGCATTGTCTTGGGAGAGGATGATGCCAGAGGCACAGAACAAACACTGAGACACAAGGAAGAGACCCAACTAGTTTGGCAGATACTCTCTTATGATGCCAGTGGACTGGCACAAAAGCAGGATAAGGTCAGATTTATTGGGGACCTCCCGTTTGCTCGTTTTGGGTTGTCCCTGGCCAGCTGTCTTGCAAGGAGTGGCTTCCTTCTGGAATGGCACAGGCTATCTAGCACAGTCTTTATAAGCACCACATCTGCAGGCAACCCCAGCAGGAAGCCAGGCTTTGCAGATGTGAGAGTGGTGATGTAGATAGATGCTTTGGTGGTGCCCTCTCGAGTGAAGCTCTCTAGCCCCGGGATCAAACTCAGCCAGATTCGTGCGCCGTATCGGTAACCGCAACCGGGGTGTGGTAACCAACCAGCCCTCAGGTACTTGGCCACGGCAACGTCCTGGATAGAGGCGACAGTTGCAGGAGTAACTGCTGCTCCGGTTGCTTCTTTTCCTCAGGGGTTCTCTGCCCGGAATTCCTGAGGGACGCGTGTCCCCCTCTCGTGGATGGAAGTTCCCTTCAGGCGGCACTTGGCGAAGCACTGGGCTTCCCAGTCGAGTCCCGGGGATTTGAGCCCCGCGACAGCACGGCGAGAGGAAGGACGGCGGTCGGGCGGGCGGGCGAGCGAGCGAGCGAGGAGAAAGCCTCGTCTTCTGCCTCTACCCAAATCCTCCTTCCCCTCCTTCAGCCCCTGTCGCGGCGCGCTTGGAAATAGCTCTGTGAGAAACTTCCCCTTTGTGGTCTTGCCCAGCTGAGGCGGCGACGGATCTTGGACAGGCAAGAAATTGGGAGGCAGGCGCTGCACGAGTCTCCGGTTGTGGCCGAAAGCTCCGAGCGAGCCAGGGGAGCAAGCTGACCGCGCTCCACACCGCCGCCTAGCGGCCGCTGCCACCACCACCCACCCGGGACGCCCCTTCTTGCCTCTTTTGGGTGCTGTGGGGTCTCCGCGACGCGATCACTCTCCCCCCACCCCTCCGCCGGCAAGGCGCGTCCGCAGCTGCCGGCGGCCTCCAGCGGACGTTGGTGGTAGACTGGCAAGGGAACCCAATCTTTCCGCCCGCTCCCCGTGGCTCTCGGTGCCTGCCGCTGCTGCTACTGCTGAAGGGATCCCGTAGCGGAGACGGGAGGCGGCAAAGAGCGAGATCCGTGGAGTAGCGGTGAGTCATGCGACCGAACGACACAACGGCTCAAGCTCCATGTGAGAACGAGAATAGAGAAGTGGAAGGAATCCGAATTACCGTCCGGGTTCTCTTTTTCCCCTACCCGGATCTGAGTTGGAAAGCGCAGCAAGAGATCCCCTGAAGGGGTTGTTTCTGGGACTGGGTGGGGGGAAATGAAAGATGGCTAGAGTTTTTCCCTTCCGCCCAAGGGTTCAGCCAGCCAGGATCGTGGCCGAAAGCCTCTGAGGATGAGCAGAGCAGAAAGTAGTGGCACTAGAGCTGCCACCTGTCTGAATTTAAGAGGTCTGTGTATTGTCAGTATGTGGATGGGACTTGAGGAGATACTGTCCTACCCGAGAGAAATGCAGTCGAAGCAACACAACCCCAGTCCAATTCCCGATTTTAACTGCAGTCCCCTGTATTATTTTCTTTTGCCCATCTCTGGTGAAGAGCATCTGCTGAAAGACATTTCTTCCATTGTCCAAGCCAACCTGCATCTCCAGCTCTCTATTTCCATGTGCATCGTTCGCATCCCACAATTCCACAAATGCAAGCATCTTTATGCATTTTACAGGAAAACTGCCATTTCAACAGCGCTTTGACAGCCACTATATCTTTTTATAAGAGAGGGGATTATAACATTTGGCAATCTAGTTTTGCTTTTAAGTCACTCAAGTAAAAAGGACATTAATCATCTGATCCAATTAAGCTGCTGCTTGAAGAAATGCTTCAGTTCTATTATTTATTCAGTTTTATTCCCTTAAGCATTATAGTTGGATATAATGTAAAATTATTTGGTTGGGGGGAATTCAGCCATTTTTGGAGGAAAATAATATTTTGGAGAGAGAAAAACTGTTTTGGTCCATGAAGCCTGTAAGATGTCTTCTATCTAACACATAAGAATAATTTTGCCCATATTAAAGGAACATCTCTAGATTGGAACTTCAAATGAGCACTCTAACATCTGTTCAAATATTTACACCCTCAAACATATGATGGTAGGGCTAAGGGCCACTTACAGAGGAAGGTTTGCTAGAAGTCTTTAACTCTTTCTCTATTTAATTTTCCTGGCCAACATTATTTCCCTAGCTTGTTTCCCTCAATCTCATATTCCAATTTTAAACACAGGTGGGTCTTTGATGCTAGATGTGTAAAAATCTTAGATGGGCTTTTGCTGGGCAGAATCCATGAGACTAGGAGGAGCTTAAGCATTTACAGGGATGGGGAAATGATGTGAAATAGGAGTCAAATAGTTGCTCAGGAATACAATGAGATGGGATTGGCAGAGTTTGGCAGGTTAAGTAACCTGTTTAAGCATCTGATTCTCCTCACAAGATGATCATATTTCTCTGATGTTATTTTTTTTTAATTGAAATAGAAGACTGGGCTTAGGAGAAAAGAATGAATTGGTAGTAAGAAGTGTAGGCCCTGTTTAGTGGTTATTCAGTAGTCCTTGATTGCAACCCTTTGTTTAGCTACTGTTTAAAGTTACAGCAGGTGACTTAAACTGGTCCTTGCACTTAAAACTATTGTAGTCCACCCCTCCAATCAAAATTCTGATGCTTGGCAACTAGCACATATTTACAATGGCTGAAGTGTCCCAGAGTGATATGATCTTCATTTGCAACCTTCCCAGTCCGCTGCCAACAAGCAAAGTCAGTGGGGAAAGTGGATTCACTTAATGACGGTGTGAATCATTTAACTGCAATGATTCACACTAACAAACATGGCAAAAAGAACCCTAAAGTCAAGTGTGACTCAACCCGCTAGCTTAGCAATGAAAATTCTGGTCTGAAAATTGTAGTTGTAAACTGAAGACTACTTACATGAATGTTATAAATGGATTGTACTGTAAATCTGCCATTGATTATATTCTATGTTATTTTAAATATAGTTTTATACATCTTTGTTGTTTTTATTTGTATTTTGTTTATTTTGTGTTTTGATGTTATCTTAATTATTGTGAGCCACCAAGATTCACATGTGTAAGATGGGTTGCTACTGAAATTGAATTAATAAATAATAATAAATAAATGACTATGAAAATTAAATGTTTGGCCCTTTGTATGCTTCTCACTATTGCTTTTTCATACCGATCTTCTGAATGCAAATTGCTCTGAATGTTGCCAACAGAAAATTGACCCAAATGCAAACTGAACAATAGGTATATCTTCTGCTATGCTGGAGTGATTCTTGACAATTACTGTTTATTCCTTTTTGTTATTCTATTTTTTATTTTATTCCAAAAATAGTTTCAAAAACAAATTCAAAACTTCAAAAAAAAAATTATATTAAATAAACAACAACAAATTGAATTTGTTGAAAACCCCAACCCCCACAAAACAAGACATTAAAAAGTGCATTAAAAAAAACCCTAACACAGACACATTATCTGCCCTGGTTGAATACTGATTAATGTACAACAATACTAGTTTCCCACTCATGAGAAACACCTCCCCCATATTTTTAAACTACTAAATCTATTTGCAATTTAGTGGCCTGTTATCTATATATTAATGACCAAGTTGTTAACAAGAATAAAAAAAAAAATAACATTAATGTTTCAAAACTCTCTGATAACAAACTGTTATTGCAATCAACTCATGGAAAATTTACTATAGCCAAGTCATCCCAAAAAATAAGAGTGATTTGTCCTGGATCAAATATCCATGTTTGCTTCTTACGACCATCTCTTATCTATTATTGTCTGCTTAAATATCATAGGATCAATCTCCAAAGTCTGTCTACCTTCCAAAAAAGGTCCAGGATTAAATTGTCTTCCAGTTAAATGTGATAAATCCATTCCTCAATTTCCTTCAGACTTCTTAAGGAAAGTTAATTTATCGCTTCTCCACTCAGTTATTGTTTATTTCTTTACCATAGTTAAGGAAATTATGAAATTGTGATGCATGAACAATGGATGAAGTTTCACGTACAGCTTTGGGGCATAGAACAAGGATTATCAGTATCACAACAACTGGCCATTAAAGATATGAAAATATCTCACTCAGAATTGAATTAATTTTTTAAAATTCCCTTGGCTTTAACTATAAAATATATCTTAATTATAATTATGTCATGTCATATTATGTTTATTTCCCCCCCCCACTTTTTTATAGCACTTTTATGTGGGGTTTTTTGGGCAGGGGTTCTCTTTGACAATGTATCACAATCACTATTATTTTTATGTTTTTCCCTTTTATTCTCAATTTTAAAAAGATTGAAAATGTCCAGCTCTAAATTAAACTAGTTTTTCAAAACTTGTCTTGGCTTTAACTGTAAAATTCATTATAACTATTTCTCAGCTTAAAACGTCTTAAGGAATCACATTCACATTTTCTCCCACCATCCTCCTTCACTTCCAAAATGTATTAGTTTCTTGCTTGCCAGCAGGGGTCCCAGGAGTATGGAATGAGCCAGGATCCCTAGCTCAATCTAATTTATTTGCAAATCAAGCCAGTTTCTCCCTGGAGGAAACACTATCAGCAAAAGATCAGATGAACTGAAGGGGACTGAACCTGCTGAGACATTAACTTTCTCCTGTTGACCCTTTGGAGTCACCTTGATATTCTAGAACCTTTATAGTGTATTTAATTCAATCTAGAGTATAGGTCTGTGTAGGAAGAAACGTGAGACATCTAACATTAGCTAGGAAGTGCACTGCGACTTCTACCTGATTATTTTTTATTTTATTCTCTGGCTTCCAAGATCTTTCTCCACAATTATCTTCATTTATAAATCAGCTAGAAATATAGAATTAACAGTGGCCATCACTAGAAAATTTTTGTCTCACATTTACTATTAGTTTCCCTACTTCATATTTCTTAACTGAAGGGAATATTTTTCTTCCTCTCCTACCTTGTATTCCTAACTCTCCAAATCAACTTTGTCCCCAAGAACCCAATTTAATTTCAGATTTAAAAATTAGGCTCTTGTTTGTTTCTTCCTTGGATGCTATGCCCTTATTCAGTAAAATCTAATCAGGTCTGTTTATTTTATCATATAGTAATGCAGGCATTTTTATTATGCTACGAAGTCTGTTATTATTATCATTATGGTTCATCTCACAGCTAGCCAGATGTTCAGGCTGGATTTGGCATTTTGTTCAGCTACTGAGTCCTTCCTAAGGACCTGGAATAGGCAGATCTGGATGTTTGATGAAGTTACAAATATCACTGCAGGATGCAAGCTATTCCAGGTAAAGCTATCTTTTGCAATTGATGATGAATTTGTCAATGCTGATGGTGTTCAAGTGGTGCTCCAGTTGTTTTGGGATTCCACCTAAAGTACCTATTACTATTGGTTCTACCTTTGCTTTCTTTTGCCAGGGCAGTCCTACCGTGTTTCTCCAACAATACGGCCTCCACCAATAGGAAGCCCCACCATGTCTTATTGGCATAAAATCAAATTAAGCCCCTCCCCCCAAATTAAGGCCCATATTAAACATGCGAAATGGGGGGGAATGGCGGGGGGGGGTGCTTGCCATTAGGAAGTACTTTTGTTGCATGCCCGGATATGGTGCTGCCTGCGTTGGTGGGGCACTTCATATCGGGAGACCTTCCACCGTTGCTTTCCCTTCTCCCTTGCTGCCGCGGCGTTAGGCATTTGGTGCAGCCATGTGCGGCTAGTCAGGGCTCCTCCCTGCAACCGGAGCCCTGAGGAGATACTTGGCTTCAGGCGCTCCCGTCTTCCCTTTGCTTTCGAAGGTAAAGCAAATTATTTTACAAAGCCTCCCCTGCCCGAGAGGGCAGCCCAACCCCATGTGGGGAGGCGAATCTCCCGGGGCCTCTTCGGTTCCTCCCCAGCCTCCCTACACTGCGCGCCTCTGACGCGCCGGTCCCTTCAGCCCAGCGAGCTCTTCCACCTCAAAGAAAGGCCAGGCGGGAGGCTGCGGAGCAGCAGCAGCGGGTCCGAGCCGCTCGCAGCAGAAACAACCACCACCCTTAGCCTGACGCGGGGAGAACGACCGAGGTTAGCGCCCACCAGCCCGTCCTTCCCGCCTTTGGAGGCACCTGCACCGAGCGCCTCCGCGGCCAGCCTAGTCACGCCGCTTCTGACCGACTCCTTCGGGAGCGCCCGCCAAGGGAGTCTTCGCGGCTCGGTTTCCCCTACCGGCAGGTCCTCCTTTCGTGCGGAGGGCTGCAGGGGAAGGTGCTCGCTCGAGAGGATCTCTCCCTCTCTCTCCCTGCAAGGTCAACGTCTGCGCTGCGGAGGAGGTGGCTGCAGCCGGTTCCTCCTGCTTGCTGAGCCGTGGCTTTGCAGAGCAAATGAAGTGCTGCTCGCCCGGGCGAGATTTGGGAACGAGGGG